AACGTTCAGATTGAAGATGTCACCATCACCCCTAGTGCACACGTGAAATACCTCGGTATAGTTCTTGACGAACATCTCTCCTTTGGAGTTCACATTGCATAATTAGAACGTAAAATAGGCTGTAAGTTAGGAATGTTTAGAAAGGTCCGAGACCATTTAACGATCGATGCTAAGAGGGCTTTCTACATCTGTTCCATTCAGTCCATACTTGAGTATGGGTCTAATTCCTTTGCTCACTGCCTTTCTGCCTCCCTCCATGACCGTGTTGTCCGACTTAGTAATAGAGCGCTGCGTATTGTATTTTGCATGCCCCGCCTATCTGATGTCTCCCTTGTTCTTGCCCGCTACCATATCATTCCCTTGTCTGTCAGGTACCAATTCAAGCTGTACGTTCTAACGTACCGTGCGCTTCATGATCTGGCTAGTGTCTTTGTTGCTAACTGTTTCTGTCTCCGCTCTAATTCTACCTGCACTAGTTCTCGCACCCGCTCTCAAGTGTCCTCTTCCCTTGCTCTTCCAACAGCCAAACGTCGCTATGGTTTATTTTCTGTCACTTTCCTTGGCTCTGACCGCTGGAATGCCCTCCCAGCGGAGGTCCGCTCAAGTTCTTCCTTGCATACCTTCCGTAATTCTGTTCTTCATTTTTTAGGGTACCCTGTCAAAAGGCCTTAGGCCTGTGGGGATTGCCCTATCAAAAATTTAATAATTTTTTAATAACCATGCATGATGTCCCGGACCCCGTGTAGGCTAGCTAGGTAAGCAGCAGCAGCAGCTAGCTGATCACCATGAATGCATGATAATTATTATGATTGTCTTTTATGATCACTGACTGTCAGAACTAGAACAGCGGTGAACCACGAAGGTACAATCATGTGGAAGCTGCATGAGATAGCGGACGACAATAAAAATAATAACACCTCTTTTGTACCTGTCGATTCCCACGAAACTGAGTAGAATCCTAGTTGAGTGCGCGTACAAAAGTAGAAGAGATCATTCAACGAGCAGCATGGAAGAGCGCACCGTGACTAGACCACGTCGCAACGTTGCCGCAGCACAGCTAGCGCTTGTTGTAGGGTTGTGCATCGCTCTTTGCGGGCACTGCGACAGTAGCCTCGCTGCAGCCGGACAGGCTCAACCTCCAAACATTCTATTCATTGTAGCGGATGATTTGGGTAAGGCTAGTGAGTAGTGTCTCTAGCTCTCCACGTTCGCTTTCACTGTTTCAGACAGTCACATGATTTAACACGCTAGTACATGTACACTGTATGTGTACTACTTACAATTTTATTATTTATTATATGCATGTTCGCGTTGATGTCAACAGTGTTCACATCTTCGCATATGCCAGAACCAAACGATCAGCTGTATGATACTGTAGAAGCAAGAATGCATTTTAACGGTACAACACAACGGACAATATACTTTACTATGGTGATTGCCAGCATGGTCGGTGACTACCGAAACCTATGCGGGGAGATAATAATCATGATGGAGTGGTAGATGCCAGCATACTGTGGCCTTCCTCAATATAGAGCACGGCAAAAGTCTCTCCACTCCTCGCGACTAGCTGCGGTAGATCGAAGGCTGTCTAGGTCCGCTGCTGTCTTTAATTTGCCCATGTTCTTCTTCTCCAAGTCCCTGGACAGGGTTGTGACCAACGTTGTTCTTGGTCGCCCTCGGAACGACCCTTCTCGACATACAACGTATGCCTTCATTGCAATCACTGCCGGGGTATCGCCAGGAAGCCGCAGGACATGGCCCATCAGTCTCCATCGGGCACGTTTGACCGTTGCGCTGATTGGTTCCGCACCACAGCGGGAGTATACGTTGATGTTGGAGATGCGCTGTGGCCAACGGACGCCAATCAGGGACCTCAGCTGCCTTCTGTGGAAGGAATCGAGCCTCTCCTCAGTTGCTGCTGTCAAGCCCCAAGTGCCACAGTTGTACAGCAAAATTGGGACGATCAGGGCATTGTACAGGCGGAGCCGAACCCGCTCGCTGACCTGTTTGCTGCGACGCCAGAGAGAGAACATGGACTGATATGCTGCTGATGCCAGCTGCTTTCTCCGGATCACGTCTTGTTCGTCGCCGATGAGAGAGCCCAACTTTCTTGTCGAGCGCCAATCTTCTGCTATACGGTCCTTCTCCCGGCGAAATGTTGTCCTCTCTGTCTTGTCATGGTTGACGCGATAATGCCATTCACCCAGTACCTCCGCTGTAATGGGTTCGATATCCGCAATTGTATACTTGCACTCAATTTCTTCATGGGAAGCTGCTTCAAGCAGGCGGATAGAAGCGTGCAAGTAGGCCATTTGGGTAACGGTTTCTTGTCAAGCTTTTGTGTTCAATCTGACACTTCAATTTTAAAGGGGAAGTTAAGGCAAAAATCAAAATTTCACCAGTTGTAGTCTTCGGGGTGCTGAGTCGAATGGTCTTGGTCCGAGGAAGCTGAGACGCTCCCTTCCTACTTGAATCCCAATCGAACTCGCGCACTTCCACCGAAACTGGGTGACTGCGCCCTACTAGATGGGGATTTGTATGCAAAATGTCACTAAAAGCGCCATTTCGTTCTTATAAAAGCACGGATGACCGCGATTGGCCCATATGTTGTAGTCTTTTGGACGCTGAGTCGACTGGCTTTGGTCCGAAAAGGCTGCGATGCAGCGTTCCTCCTTTATTCCCAATCGAACATGGTTGAACAAGCGGTCACGTGCTCCTGGGTGCCCAAATCACCTGGTACCACGCCAGCAGGCGACAACTTTCACACCAAGGTTCAACTCGAGTTCAACTCGAGTGACAGGACTGCACCCAAAAAAGGTCAAACAGGCTAGTAAGTTGTACGCTGCAGGCACGGTGACCAGGTGACTGGTGTACGCAGGAGCACGTGACCGCTTGTTCAACCATGTTCGGTTGGGAATAAAGGAGGAACGCTGCATCGCAGCCTTTTCGGACCAAAACCAGTTGACTCAGCGTCCAAAAGACTACAACATATGGGCCAATCGCGGTCATCCATGCTTTTATAAGAACGAAATGGCGCTTTTAGTGACATTTTGCATACAAATCCCCATCTAGTAGGGCGCAGTCACCCAGTTTCGGTGGAAGTGCGCGAGTTCGATTGGGATTCAAGTGGGAAGGGAGCGTCTCAGCTTTCTCGGACCAAGACCATTCGACTCAGCACCCCGAAGACTACAACTGGTGAAATTTTAATTTTTGCCTTAACTTCCCCTTTAATTAAGGGTTCTATTTATTCAGAACTAAATATTGCGACAGAGCTTTCGGCCATATTTTCTGCATACACGGACATTGCAACATCATAATAATAAACAACATACATGTACTTTCCATTGGCATCAGTATTCCGCGTCAGGTTTTCGTCGCTTGTGTGGTGTGTTTCTCCACCAATGAGCGCGTACTATGATTATTTATCGCTGTTCTCACACTTTACCATTTTAGCAGCTTGCATATGCCATTGATATATGTGGAAAGCGCGCATTTGCGCCATTTCTGGTGTATAAGAATGATCATTCCTCCATTATCATCATTATTATCCTCTACTGATGAGCTCCGACAGGGAGCGAAACAGCTGTCTAGAGGCGTGGAGCAATATTATCTCTCAACGGAAGTGTCCTTGCTGGTGTCTGTATGGTTCGGCTGAAGAGCGCGTGGTTGTGATGAGTTGGGAATGCAATGAGTTCTATTTATTGCCGAATTTGGGTTTTCTGTTTTCTTTGGTTCTTACTTTATGGTTTCACGCAATACGATTGGTTTTGTGAATAAACCCGTTCTCAAGTAGAAAACAAGTAATAGGCTGTGTTTACATGTGACTTCTCAACCTGCGTTGAAAGTCTGTATGGTGGAGGAATGCCAACATGAATTAGCTTGACTCGTGTAGATTACTTTTATGCCGAAAAAGTCCACTTAGCGCCAGTCATGCACATGTATGGTGGCATGGCTATTTTGGCGGGGAATCTGTGTATGCAACACCGTGCCATCCCAGCGCACACAATAGCACACAACTTACATGTATCATAAGTACGCTAGTACTTGAAGTACAGCGCTGCTCAATGAAATCCAGTGGCGTCCCTCAAGCACGCGCCGGACGTTGCGCAGCCCCAGCCTGTGACCTGCGAATACTGGGCTTAGAAAAGGTGCAAGGCGCAAACGTGAGTGACATGACTGGATTTCATTGAGCAAGACTGTACATTTGCTCGATCCCCCCCCCCCCCCCCCCCTCTCTCTCCCCAGAAGATAGGGTTGAAATCAACTCGGGTCGAGCGCAATGCATCATGTAAACGCTCCAATCAATCTGTGTTCTTGACGGGTTGATGAAGCTTAGCTTGGGTTGAAAACTCTCATGCGAACATAACCATGAAGAGAGACTCGGGGAGAAAGAGAGAGAGAGAGACAGAGAGAGAGAGAGACAGAGAGAGAGAGAGAGAGACAGAGAGACAGAGAGAGACAGAGAGAGACAGAGAGAGATAGACAGAGACAGACACACAGACAGGCAGAGAGAGAGAGAGAGAGAGAGAGAGAGAGAGAGAGAGAGAGAGAGAGAGAGAGAGAGAGAGAGAGAGAGAGAGAGAGAGAGAGAGAGAGAGAGAGAGAGAGAGAGAGAGAGAGAGAGAGAGAGAGAGAGAGAGAGAGAGAGAGAGAGAGAGAGAGAGAGGAGAGAGAGAGAGAGAGAGAGAGAGAGAGAGAGAGAGGGGAGAGAGAGAGAGAGAGAGAGAGAGAGAGAGAGAGAAAGAGAGAGCATTATGTGCAGTATGTATCACCAGCCTATGTTATTCAGCATCCGCCTATCACGTATGTTATGGCAGTAATATGAGCCACTCTATAATTTCTACGCTACTGGCCGATGATAATTGGGGTTGAATGCCACTGTAGTATACATATATCATGGTTGCTGAAATGCTGAGTACGCGTACCATGTATGTTGTTCACGACATGTATATGACTCTACAGGCTGGAATGATGTGGGCTGGCATGGTTCGGAGATCCACACGCCCAACTTGGATGCGCTGGCAATGAGTGGTGTGCGCTTAGACCATTCCTACGTGCAGCCCATCTGCTCACCGTATGTATCCGAGTATTTATACACACACGGTACTCTAGTTGACTGTGAAGTGTGTGCGCGTGTGCGTGTGTGCATATGGGTGTGTGTGTGTGTGCATGCGTGTGCGTGTGTATATGTCACCCGAGCGGCGGCCGGTCGGGTGACTTGAAGCGTGGCATTCCCCATATTGCTCAGCTCGCACGCTATCATCGCACCAGCGATGGGCGTCCACGGTGTGTGTATGTGTGTGTGTGTGTGTGTGTGTGTGTGTGTGTGTCTGTGTGTATGTATACAGTCAGACCTCGCTTACCCGCACACATCCGTTTTCCACAAAAATATCCGGATAGGCGAGGGAACCGGATAATCGAACACACATACTGTATGTGTGCAGGGCATATGCTGTAAATCGGTGACCAACAATTTTCATCCGGATGGCGAGGGATCCGGATAAACGAGGACTGGATAAGCGAGGTCTGACTGTACATGGAGAGAAGTCTGATGTATTGCTGAACAGCCCACGCAATCAGCACTACTGCACACCGTTCATATGCTGGGGCAATTATGGTAGTATAGCACATTATTATGTTTCTGGTTAGATGGGTCTGGTCAGAGCTGCTTAGTAAGCAACTATGAGTAAGAGCTGTTTTGTTATCGTGGCTGTTTGTTTCCCGGGTGTCTTTGCAGAACTCGTAGCTCCATCATGTCAGGCAAGTTTGTCAGTCACACTGGAATACAGGTACGTTAAATGCAGGTCCTTGCACCGTGTGCTGGTTCCCCGGTGTTCCTCCATAGACTGAGTGCAGATGCAGTTGAATGTTTGTCTATCATGCCATACAGTACACTTTTTGCACATGCACACAACGCCTATATCCCCAGTCCTCAGTGTACATGTACATGGCTATGTCACATGCACACAACACGCACTGCATCCTCAATCCTCCCTGAACACCACTTTGCACCGACGCAGTACAGGTACACACGGCCGGCTTCCCCATGCACGGCACGGCATGTTAGACACAGGTCCGCCGGTATGCTCAATTACCCCCTTGGATACCAGCACGCTATGGTCCCTGGACTAGGATATTGGTGATCAGGTCATTGGTGCTGGATGCAATGTGTCCATATGTGAGATCAATCATGTACGTGAAGAGTGTACTGCGCTGAGCGAGTATTGTTTCTGTAAATATGTGTTGCAGAGTCTTATTCTGTCACCGAAGCCATGCGGCCTACCCACAAACATAACAACAATAGCACAGCAGCTGAAGCAACGTGGCTATGCCACCCACGCCGTGGGAAAGTAAGGCATTCTCAGGACCGCCGGAAGCAGTTTTCAATCGGGTCTGGTCGTACCATAGTCTTATACTTCAACTACATACTTTGTGTTTGATATGCCTTGAAATATGTCCTCCTAAGCAGTAACCATGTGTTGGTGGCCACAAAGTTGGTCCAGTGATCACCTGACCACCTGGACCGGTTCCGGCGGGCCTGATTCTGCATGGAGCACAGCAAGAATTATGTTTCATAGCTATGGCCACACCAAATTAATTCTAAAACAGAGAGGTTCCAGCTAGGCTGTCCAAGAGAGTGCTCAATACCAAGAGGCAGAGCTAACTTAGTTCAAACAATAAGAGGACGGAAAAAGTGTTTTAACTCTGAGTTTCACGCACTAAGTGATCATCAGAAAACAGTTTAATTTTATGTTTCGCGTTGGACATTCTATGGAAAAGGCACGCTGGCGGGCGGACAAAAAACAAAAACAGAGGAAAAAACAAAACAAAAACTCCATTCTATGTGTACTGAGCCATGTTGCACTACTAAACTGTCACTTATATCCAAAACGACAAGTCGCCACAGGACAGCTGGCAGACTGGGCTGGAGCGATACATGATATTTCATGGATAGCTCCTTCTGCACGTTGACGTGAGTCGAGTGGAATTTCGCTCCATCATGATCGTGGAAAATCTCGAAGTCCTTGACACCTGGAATCTCGGCTCGCTTGGTACATGGCGAGTAGGCCCTACCGTACGGCTTGGAAAAATATAAATTTCACCGCTCGCACTTTCTACGTACCATCGCCTGGAATGCAAGTTTATCGAGAAACTGATAACCTCTGATCTGCCATACTGGCTATGTGTATGCCTGAATGTTCGCCTTAACGGCCATCGATTGACTCGTCTCGGTTCTTTTTTTCTTGTCAAGGATTCGAAAAGGTACGCGCGCGGTGACGCGAAACGTAGAAATAACTTGGTATGGCCTATAAAAAATTAAATAAATAAAAATGAAACGGGTCCATGTACAGGGCGGGTTAAGGGGGGACGGGAGGTTCAGAGGGTCAAAAAATGAATTTCTGAGTTTTGAACTTTTTGCTATGGAATCTTGTCTTAGGATATTTGAAGTGCCAGAATTTCAAATTTGAGCGTAATCGGGTCAGTAGAAGTGGAGTTATGAGCTAAAGTATGTCGAGATAAATTTCAAATGTAAATACTCAAATGTTTACAATTGCCTAATTTTGTGATTTTGGTTTAGTCCAAAATCAAGCGTTTTTGATTCAACTTCGCCAGGTAAGCGACCCTGGCTTCTGTTTTTGTAGTCATGGAGAGCTGCCAAGTGCTTCCTTGATCGCGTATGACGTCATGCAGCGCCACGACGGCCACGCGAAGGAAAAAATCTTTGTTTTTTTGTTTGTGATCGTGAAATTTGAAAGTGAACATGGGGAACCGAAAGAGAAGCACCAGCAGCTCTGGAAGTGGCCATAGGAGGAAGAAAAGGAGATACTACGCCCCAAAGCAGTCAAGCTCTGTACCAGTTGTGGAAGAAGGCACCGTTGAAGCGGCGCAGAGCGCTTCCTCTCGGAAGATTTCGTCCAGGCCAAAATGGCTTAGTGATATGGTCATGGAATTTGAATCTGAGCTTGTGTGCTCGAGTGACAGTGATTCAGACGAGTCGTCCAGTGATAGCTGCCAGGAGTATGATGATGATGCATTCTATCCTGATGTTGAGGAGTCTGTCTCTGGCTACAAGATCGTGGATTTACAGTGTCTCCAGGAACTGATGGATCAATTTACTGTCTGTAGGAAGTGCACGAAGGGAGACATGATCATCAGTAACTGTCATGACACTGGACTTGGATCGACCCTGCGACTTCAATGCGCTTTGTGTGGACACAGTGGAAGTACGTCTCTGAGCAAGAAAATTGGCAGGAGCTATGATCTGAATCGACGATCTGTACTGGCGATGCGATGCATTGGACGTGGCCATGGTGGACTCCGAAAGTTTTGCGGCGTAATGAATTTTCCTGCTCCTGTAACAGAGAAAGCGTACCGCAGCCACCAGGAAGTTGTCCTTGCTGCAGCCGTAAAGCTAGCTGAAACTGACATGGTTCAATCCGCAGCTGAGTTGCGTGCCATGACAGATTCCACCCACGTCGCAGTGACGTTCGACGGCACTTGGATGCGCAGGGGATATTCGTCGCTGTATGGTGTGTTCGCGTGCATCTCCTTCCAGAGCGGCCGTGTACTGGACATCACAGTGAAGGGTCGATACTGTCACGAATGTAAGATCTGGACTGAGAAGAAGCGAAGTGGTGCAATCACGGAGGAAGCCTTTTCAACCTGGCTGGATAATCACAAGTGCAGCATAAACACAGCGGCATCTGCACCCGGTATGGAGAGTGAAGCTGCGTGCGATATTTGGCAGCGGTCTGTGGGCACACGCGGAGGCCTCATGTACACGTCGTACATCGGAGATGGCGACTCCAAAGGCTATAAGAAGGTGTGCGACCTGGACCCTTATGATGGTGTTGCCATCAGCAAGGAAGAATGCATAGGCCATGTGCAGAAGCGTGTTGGCAATAGGCTCCGGGAACTGAAGCGGCAACACAAGGGCATGAAGCTGAGCGATGGCATCGGTCTCAGTGGAAAGGGCCGTCTCACTGACAGGCAGATGGAGCGTCTCCAGACCAATTATGGCAATGCCGTCAGGAGGAATGTCGGAGACCTGCAAGCAATGGCCAAGGAGATCTGGGCTGGGCTCATGCACTGCTGCTCAACAGATGCTACGCCGCAGCATCAATTCTGTCCGGAAGGTCCGGACTCGTGGTGCAAGTGGCAGCAGGCGCAGAGTGGTGCACGCCAAGCTTATGAGCATAAGAACCCTCTCCCAAAGGCTGTGTTCGAAGTCGTGAAGCCCATCTACATGCAGCTGTCCGAACGAAGTCTGCTGGAGCGCTGCCAGATGGGTGCAACGCAGAATGCGAACGAGTCGTTCAACAACGTCATTTGGAGAATGTGTCCGAAGGAAGGCTTCTGCTCCGTCGACACCGTTCAGCTGGCAAGTAGTTTGGCAGTGCTCAACTTCAACAACGGCGCTATCACCTTGCTCAGTGTGCTGAAAGAGTGTGGATGCATTGATGGCAATCACACGAAGGCAGCGCTTGAGCTAGAAGACCAATGGCGTGTGAAGAAGTCCCTCCGCAAGTCATCAGCAGTGGAAAAGGAGAGCAGGAAAAGGAGAAGGAGGCAGAGGAAAGGCTGGGAGGAGACCACTATTGAGAAAGAGGGCACTACATATGATAAAGGTGGTTTCTGAATGGCAACTTCAGGTGAGATATGTGAAAATATTTCAGTAGCACTCCACTATCAGTCCTTTTTATGTAATTTTTAGGTGCATTTTTCACTGATTTTAGGGGTATTATGGGCACTCCGCGCAGTTTTTTAGAAATGCTGTACATATCTTGTATGTAAAAGTATATATTTTCTGGTTCTGTACGGTCCATTCTAGATCCGTTGCCTTCTTAGGACACTAGATCTTCTGTTAGAAACAAAATAATGGACCTTGAACTTCAGTCAAGTTATCTTGCGCACGTGCATTGTTATTTCAAGGCTGCAGTGGCACACCATTGGAACTGTAATGGCATTGTGCTTAGGCAACAGCCCTAGCCCCTTGGTACCTGATCATTTTGCAGTGTTATGTGTTTATCTTCAAGTGACCATGTTTGAGAAAAACTGCGCAGAAATCATGCCCGGCTATCGCATTTTTTCCAAAATTGCTTTCCTGCATTTCTCCATGATACCAGTATACTTTCCACAGTTCTTGGTTGCAATGTTGTCAGTGGATGTCAAGGAACATATACTGAAAATTTGAAGGAATTCTGATGTTTGAGTGCTGAGATTCAAGCGAATTTATAACGGGCACCGCAATATGGCCAGCGAACCTCCCGTCCCCCCTTAAGAGCCGCCTTTCCACTTCCCTGGAATGCCACCACCCCATGGTCAGGCGTCAGATGCGGCTCTTAATTAATTGAACAGTGTGTGTGTGTGGGGGGGGGGGGGGGTGGTAGATCAGATCCACCAACCAGAGGCCAAAATACCACAGCTATAGGGCGCACGGTAATACTTTTGACCTAGCAAATTCCCAATAATCAATAATCCGTCGTTACAGCCGGGACTTTGGCAAGCAATGACCTACACACACTCACACTGACTCTAGTATTGTTGTAATACCTCTGTACAACTGCTCTAGCATCACAAGGCTGGTTTATCCTTTGTTGGGCATGGTTCACAACATAGAATAGATCACCATGACATGATATCCACAGGTTGCAATGAGTCATTGCAGTTACAGTACTCGTACACCCAACTCGCACACTTACCTGCTAGTGCTTGTGTGGCTGTCTCGCTTAGTGCATATCGGCTGTGCGTGTTTATTGGCAGGTGGCACCAGGGCTATTGCAAGCCAGCGTACACACCCTCCCACCGTGGCTTTGACACATTCTTTGGCTACTATTCTGGTGCCGAGGAGTACTTCAGTCACTATAGGAAAGACCATGCAGGTGAGTGATTGCGGTGATGGTGGTGGTGTTGTGGTGGTGGTAATACAGGGCCAGCACCACTGGGTGCATGGTGTGGCCGGTACGGCTATGGCCGTGCCAATTTCTCCAAATGTCGGTCCATGTGGAACGTCCCAAACTGGGGAGAAAAGTTTCGATGTATGGTTTTGTACAGGGAGTCGTAAAAAACGGATTACCCTGTCATCAGGAACATTCCACATACAGTGAGCTACAGTACAGCACAGTGAATTATCATAGATACACTATCTGAAACTAGCCGGTGTATTCTGCATTGGAATATCAGACCTGCAAGTTGTACCCATCATCAGTGACTAGTGATTAATTTGGTTAGTTAAGTCATTACCAAGTGTGTGTAGGCAATTTGCTTCAGAGCCTTCCAGCTAGCCTCCTCCTTGCTACAAGCAGTTCTATTTTGGTGTTTTGTGCGATTGCTTCCCATGCGGCAGGGAAGTTGACCTGGAATGCTCTGGATTTCCACTTTGACACTCCGGAGAACTACACTAATGTGCGCAACATGAACGGCACATACTCCGCAGTAAGGTTGTGACACAGTCTCTGTTGGTCTGTGACATTTCCCCAAGTATTCAGTCAACGTTGTCAATGTGGCTGTATCTAGAGAGAATTGTATTGAAACACTAAATAGCCGCCGCAATACCTCCCCGTGGAAGTAGCCGAAAGCCGCTGATAGCATTCTTTGTGGACCAGGGAGGCCGCCAACTAGCGGCTAGCAATCCTAGATGGACAGATCAGGTCTGGATGATAATGGCATTGGGCTCTTTTGCTCGTTGTATGCTTCAGCCTCTGGGTGACGTTACAGCATTCATGCCCTCAGTGGCAAGGATGTTTTCGGTGTACCCACGTGTACGGGTGATACAATGCTTTCTGATCCAAGCCCACCATGTGTACGGGTGATACAATGCTTTCTGATCCAAGCCCACCATGTGTACGGGTGATACAATGCTTTCTGATCCAAGCCTGCCATGTGTACGGGTGATACAATGCTTTCTGATCCAAACCCGCCATGTGTACGGGTGATACAATGCTTTCTGATCCAAGCCCGCCATGTGTACGGGTGATACAATGCTTTCTGATCCAAGCCCACCACGTGTACGGGTGATACAATGCTTTCTGATCCAAACCTGCCATGTGTACGGGTGATACAATGCTTTCTGATCCAAGCCCACCATGTGTACGGGTGATACAATGCTTTCTGATCCAAGCCCACCATGTGTACGGGTGATACAATGCTTTCTGATCCAAACCTGCCATGTGTACGGGTGATACAATGCTTTCTGATCCAAGCCCACCATGTGTACGGGTGATACAATGCTTTCTGATCCAAGCCCGCCATGTGTACGGGCGATACAATGCTTTCTGATCCAAACCCGCCATGTGTACGGGTGATACAATGCTTTCTGATCCAAGCCCACCATGTGTGTACATATGATACTGCAGAATGCATTCACGGACCAAGCCATCAAGGTCATGGATGAACATGACAAGACTAAGCCACTCTACATCTATCTACCCTTTCAGTCTGTTCACTCTCCAATGGAGGTAAGTGACTCCATCAGTGTGCAGTCCGACAGACTTCACTGCATGTACACATACGTGCAACGCCTGTGCTTGATGGCCAGTGTGATACGAGACCCAATATCTCGTGATTCAGGAATAGTCAATACCAGAACCCACACCATGTTGCTGCATACATCTGCACCTGTGTTTTAATACCACCTGCCTTGAGAGGCCTAGTCACTTCCATCAGGGCTCTGCATACATCTGCACCTGTGTTTTAAGACCACCTGCCTTGAGAGGCCTAGTCACTTCCATCAGGACTCTGCATACATCTGCACCTGTGTTTTAAGACCACCTGCATTGAGAGGCCTAGTCACTTCCATCAGGACTCACACCATGTTGCTGTCAGGTACATGTGTTCTTGTGCACACCCGTTAATAATAGCCAATGTTGCTGGTATTTCCCCGTTTTGTGTCCGGTGTACATCAGGTTCCACCCCAGTACCCCGCTAAATATCCCAAGATCAACGACCAGAATCGCAAAACATTCGCTGGCATGGTGTCAGCTTTGGACGAGGCAGTTGGCAATGTGACGTCGGCGTGGAAACGCAACGGTCTCTATAACAACTCAGTTATTGTGTTCACCACTGATGTAAGTGAGAGCCGCTCTGCACTGAACCACTGTGCCAGCCTACATGTATTCATACGACAAGAGCTACACAATGACTGCATGCTTAGTACTAAACCCTGCACCAGGGGTCTTGCTCTTGCTGGACCATAGCTAGCAGAGATGATAGTAAAATACTACTAACTACTAGCTAGTGTCAGATCATGTTCTTTGTGGAGTTGTAGCAGCCCCTACTGGGGGGCGTCAGGCACGCCATGGTCACTATGGTATTGACCGTGTCATTTTGCGCCCCAGGTAACGTGAAATGCGGCTGTTTATCTACATGTACATGGTTGCACAAACTATAACTTAGTGCCCGGGGACACGCCGCTAAATGGGCATCTCCAGTGTTTGACCGTACCACCAAAACCGATACCTTTTTGTGTCCCTGCCTTACACGCTACACGCTTCAACCTATTGACTATTGTACGAATTGTGTGCTAGTACGTTAGCCAGGTCACAGGCTAGGATCCCAGCCACCACTCCCACGATAAGTATCCATTCTGTGGATAGATTAAAGCAATTGTGTTTTTGTAACCCCGAGTGTCATGCCAAAGGAAGATCAGATCAGCAAACACTACTATAAGGTACAGTAAATATCGGATATAACGTGCCCCTTTGATTTTCGAAAAATTATCACTATATCCGGTGCATCACTATAGCCGATTTGCATGTTTGACCGACACATGGCACATGACTGCACATGAAATGATGCGTACACGCTGGAAAAAGCATGCTGAAAGTGCATGCATGCTCCGCGGACTCGTACCGGTGCATGACACAGAGCAGTGCATGGCAGTGCAGTACGAGTAGTCGAGTACAGACTGTACATGACTAGAACTTCGATACATCATGTGGCATGGCTGCTTCTTCAGCGTGTTCTCCAAAAAAAAATCCTGAGCTGGATCCGTACGAGTACTCACGTAGATCTAGTAGATCTACTCGGTGTCCAACGAGTTGCGTAGAGCCAGAAATAGACATGATATGAGTGGCTGTGTACGTGAGTTGGCAACATCATGGTGAGAGGCAACACAGCCAGAAACGGACAAGAGCATGCAGAAAGATACAGAAAAGGACAAGACCATACAAAGGGAGCGAGGGGTAGCGCAGCCATAAAAGGACATGTGCATACAGAAACGGACAAGAGCATACAAAGGGAGCACATTGCGAGGGGTAGCACAGCCAGAAACGGACATGTGTGATCATCACTCTTGATCATTATATGCGATATTTTCTGTACATTTGATATGGTTTGCTTCCTGAAGTCCATCACAATAAGCGATATATCGGTATAGCCGATAATAGTGTATATAGTGATATTTTAGCTGTATTTTTTCTGATTTGATTTTGATTTTGACGTGTTCTATCACTATAACCGGTATATCATTATATCCGGTCACTTTATAAACGATACTTACTGTATCCGTTTGCTTTTGAGATACAAATATGGTGGAACAAAGCTTCTTCTTTTTGCTGCGACTCAGAGTCCTGGGCTATCCAACCTGGGCTATCCATCCTGGGCTATCCATCCTGGGCTATCCATCCTGGGCTATCCATCCTGGGCTATCCATCCTGGGCTATCCATCCTGGGCTATCCATCCTGGGCTATCCATCCTGGGCTATCCATCAGATATAAATACGAGTGGGTGGATGAATGAGCACGTACTGCGGAAATGGAACGCATTGACAGCACAGCACGATCGGGTTAGAGTACTCGCACTGCGTGCATGTTCTGTTACAGGGGCGTCGGACACGGTACGGTCACTGCGGTATTGGCCGTACCACTTTTTGCCCCAGGTACCTCGTGAATCAATAAAATGCACTGATCTGGGCTCTAATATTTCAAAAAAAACTTCGGCTCAACCACACCTCCTCCACGAGTAAATCATGTGTGCTTCAGATGGCTGACCGTATCACACTAAAATACCTTCCGACGCCCCTGAGTTATGAATCTTATGATCGTCTGCACTCGTATCTCCCTGTATATGTACAGAACGGTGGTCTTGTGCGGTCCGGGGGTAACAACTATCCACTGCGTGGACAGAAGTTCACATTGTGGGAAGGTGGCACGCGAGGTGTTGCCTTTGTCTCCGGTCCACTGCTAAACAAGACTGGGTACATATATCCTGGGTAAGCTGTTATATGTTTTGCTACTACTGTCCGCAGATTGAGTATGTTGCTACTAACAAATGTCATGTAGGAGCAGTGAACTTAAAAAAGTTCACTGCTTGTACACAAACAAGTCATTGGCTGGGTAACGTTAGTCCGCCGAATCAACGCGGTGACTTTAGGCACTCCTGCATTTGCCACAAAGATGATGTTGCTATAGATATTGCATGCTTACATATGCAAGCAAGGACATGTAGTAGGACGTGTGCCAAGGATTGATCTGGCACTGGAGTAAGGAGAAACACAAGGCTTGCAATAACCGCCACATGACCATTATTTCTTTTTTGAAACGGTTCCTGTTCGTGCGGTACGGCATGTGAGATGACGTAAGTACCACCCTGCAGCTATTGCCACTGACAGAACTGACTATGCCCTGGTGTGGCTGAACATGGCATACACCCAAGACAGCATACGGTAGTTTCCGAGATCATCTAACACTGCATGCATCACCGTGACAGTATCATGGGTTGTAAATCAGTCTGTGCTGCCTCTGAGGCCTCCGTTGTTGCTTTGGCTGGGTAACCCACAAGTGCATTTTGACAACCTGATGTTCATGTGTACATGTAGGTTGGTGCATGCAGTCGACTGGTATCCTACGCTTGTGGAGCTCGCTGGTGGAGATGTCAGCAGTAAGTACCGGTAGATGTACTAGGAGCATTCGGACCTTGATCATTGGTGCCCCCCCCCCCTCCCCCCCCCGGCCCCCCCCCCCCCCCCTGATGTGAATGTACAGTCATACCTCGCTTATCCGGTCCTCTTTTTCCGGATCCCTCGCAATCCGGAAGAAAATAGCCGGTTACAGATTCACAGCAAGCGTAATGCATCCAACATAACCGCTGTTCGGTTATCCGGTTCCCTCGCCTATCCGCATAATTTTTTGTGGAAAACGGATGTGTGCGGTTAAGAGAGGTCTGACTGTACCAGTAGGTTTGTGCCCATCCGGTACAATTTCCCCCTGCGGCTGATATTATGCGAATGTAATAAAACACTCACATTGTGCACTGTGGTGAGTACAACTCAATGTTACGTGCAATCGGATGGAGTCGATGAACAGAGATCTAGCCAGCAGACCACGTGCACGATGTTATCCACCCCTTTCAATTCAATTCCCGCTGGATCCACATCTGTAGCTCATTTGGTACATGGCAGTAGCTGTTGTCACGTTTGTCATTCTTGTATGCTATCGTGTATGATCCTTGAAGGGTGGTGGCGTTCCGGCCTACGGATGCGGAAAAACTCGGCCTCTAGCCGAGTCTGACGCAAACCGGAATTTTTTTGTTTAGTGCTATCGTGATGTTCTTGTCTACAGGTCTGGACGTGGACGGATATCCGATGTGGTCGCACTTCTCCAACAACCAAACATCTCCGCGCACCCGCTTCCCCTACATCATCCACAACGAAACACAGACGTTTGTGATACGTGTTGGCAACTGGAAGCTGATGTTGGGCGTGAAGAATACCTCTCAAGGTAATGGCACTGCGTAGACACATACACACTCTGTACCCAGTCATGGGCCAAGATACATTGCCTATGAATTTGCATCCGGTACACTGTTTGCATGTCAGTGTAGTTACATGTACAAGCGAACTTCACACACCGATGGTATAACACCTTCTAACCATGCAGAGTAGAGTCTTGTCATTATATCAAATTGTCATTGTGGTCGAGTGTGGGGTGATACCTTCACAGGTATCTTACGGCTCTTGGACATAGCAGTGACCTTCAACCCCGTCTGTTATGATGTGCACGAGTGAATGAAGGTCCCTCAGCTAGGTTATGCTTGAAGAGACACCATCAGAGGAATGCCATTCCATGCAATGCGATGTAGACTATATGGCCGTGATTATAGTCCCAGCACATGTGACCTGCATCATCAGATTCTGCTGGACACACTGCATGGCCTGCAAGTCTGACTAACTTCCAGCTACTCGGCTAGTACCACTAATCACTCCATCTGTGTGCGTTGCAGGAGGATGGTTTCCGCCACCTGGTACTCCAAGTGTGGATAGTTCAGTTGAGCAACTGCGTGAGCACAGCATCAATCACCTGCACCCAGAGGAGGGTGACTACAAATATGACCAGGAGCAATATAGTGATGCAGTACAAGGGAAACCCAAACCAGAATTACTCTACTTGTTCAATTTGGAAGGTATGTGCCAGATAAAAATATGATAATATTATTTTTTACTTGTAAATATTCGAAACTCGGGTATTGAGCCAATAATAAAAGTAGAAAGGAAAAGGACATATGGAAACGAGTTAAGAGTAACTCTCCACCACTGTAACTAGATACTATATACAGTCAGAAAGTGCAACAACTAGGCACAAAACTGACAGAGTACTGAGACATTCGACGTCCTGACACCTAGCTTCAACACATCTCCGTAGCGCTAACCGACAGCCTTCCAACTTGGAAGGTTCAAGGTTATGGAAAGACCAAAGAGGGGAAGGCAAGCGCAACGAAAACGAGCACAAGCTACAGTCCCAACGGAACAAAGAATGTCGATTGTCAATGTCGAATGTCACTTTCTGACTGTATATAGTATCTAGTTACAGTGGTGGAGAGTTACTCTTAACTCGTTTCCATATGTCCTTTTCCTTTCTACTTGTAAATATTCGGCAAAGAGATATTATTTTTTTACTTGAAATACAAGTCATGGCCTTCAGAGTGTTAACACGGTACATTGCGGAGGATGTCCTTCCGGTTTAGTGAGCTAGCTCTACCCAGAGCCATAGCAGAGGAGAATAGACTGTGGGAGCGACATATGCTTAAAGATCTCTGCTGGCCCGGGGTGCTCAGTTCTGAACACCATCAATGGTATCACTGCTAAGTCCTTGGAAGGTGCAGAGCTAGGCTAGCCAGTAGCTGCTGTTGAGCAACACACAGGGAAATCGGTACACTCCTAAGATGACGGAGTGAGCCAATGCACACATTTCATCCGGGCAATGTGGACAGGCGACGGACGAGAGTCAGGCACTAATGCGATACGGACAAGCAGTGGAGGTTTGGTGGTACTACCACGCTCTGGCCTCGACCTGGGCCATACTACGGTGCCTCGCTCCATTCCAAACTAACAGCCGTAACAGTTAAGCCTGCTAGTATTGCATACGGTGGCCACCGCAACTGGTCCTTTGTGAACCCATACTGTGTGGTGTATGTGTATGTACTTGCTGTTTACAGATGACCCGACCGAGCACACTGATCTGTCGCAGAGCAATCCACAGCAGGTGTCAGTGATGATGGGACATCTCAAGGAGATGCTGCAGCCATACGCACCAGACCTATGCATACACGTGAAGGGCTCACCCAAATCCGACCCGATCAACTTTGACAATGCCTATTCGACTGGGTGGTGCTGAGCTATACAGCTTGGACTTTGAGTTTCGCTTGCCCACGCACTGCACTGCACCGCACCGCACCCCACCGCACCGCACCCCACCGCACCGCACCCCACCCCACCCCACCGCACCGCACTGCACTGCCGCTTGCAACTCAGTTCAGGTGGTGATGTGCATATGCCTAGGCTAGAGTAATGCTTTCGGAAAAGACACCATAAATAATACAATTTTATTAGCTCTATTCTTGAAAGTATGTGTTGCTCCCGACACGGGAGCTCACTGACCCCTTCCGTCCTACTCCCGTGTGGGAAGCAACATACACAGTGACTCTTCCTCTCTTAGCGCCAGGGAGTAGTAAAATACCTATCCCCTGAGTATTGCCAACATCGCTAGATTCGCTACCACTACCTTTAGACCAACGCATATGGCCGATTGGTTTGCAGGCTTGCCTGCGAATCATGAGGTCCCGAGTTCGAGACCCGCGCTGGTAGCAGGGAGCGTGTAAAGACTTTTTACGTGAGTAAAGACTTTTTATGTGTGGTGAACTGCGCCGACACCCACGGTCAACTGGGTACTCACAGCTCGGAGTGAGGGTAACAAGGATGCAGTTTACAGGGTTATGGGCCGTTACACGCCCGATTGGTTGAGAGACTCACCTACTCTCCCCTGACTCACTTGTGAGGTCTGCATTCGCCACTAAGGTGTGCAAGGCATAGGCATAGTGGTGGCCTGCGGAAGCGAAGGCTAGTTTGTGTGTTTCTGAACATTCAAGCGATGCCAACGCGAATCCCGCGAATTATTATTATTATTACCTTTAGAACTCTATTGTGCTATCAATTCATTTAAATTGACTTTCAATGCATGATTATAATTATTAGTATTACACATTGTGATGATTTTCATTGGAATCTCATCGAGAAATACAGTGGAAGGAACGGTGAGAGTGAAGGACAGGGAGTCATGGTGACATTCGGTTGCCAACTTAGTTATCAGCATCTTGTTATTCACTCGGAGCCAGCAATGCATCTTGGTCAATGGATGTACATGTATGTGACAGTCAGTGCGGAGAGATTGTCTTGGCGAGTTGCTGGTACACTGGAAGTACATGTATGAAGTGAAATGGTGGCAATTGTGCAATGCCATTATGATTGGCTGTCTTTGCCTACAGTACTGTCCGTCGCCGAAGAATTGGGGACGTCAGCCTCGTAGCCTAGGCCGTTCTTACTTCTTCAGAAGTATGTTCATGCATTACAGATCATGCACAGTTGAGCCACCGTGTACGCATTGGTATGCTGTGCTTGGTGCCTGGTCGTTCTTCGGCACTACGTTCTTCGGCGCCCAACAATACTGTAGACTGCACGATACGATTGCTGCATTCAGACTTCATCCTTCTCTCTCTACACTACAGTCTCAGCTCAAGGTCTACTTTCCCAGCATGACACACGCCTGGCTGCCCTTGTGAACTGCTCCTACACAGCAGTCATTCCCCATACCGGGTATCATTCCTTTCAGCCTACAGTAGCAATACCATGAATACCGTACTGAGACTGGATCCCATTTGCGGCAATGACCCAGTAAGGCAAGGGAACTGGCTCCTAACACCCCCCCCCCCCCCCTCCACCGGACGGATGAGGTTTGCCTAGTGTATGGCCGGCCGGGTATCAGGAAGTCACTCACTGTCACACCATTGCCGCATTGCCATTTGGTAAAGGCTTGCAGACTTGATGTGATATACCGGTACATAGCGTGAACAGCCTATCACCCTGCCCATTATCACCATTCCCTCTTGTCCACCCTGCTGTCTTTGCACCCAACTCCTGAACTATCACTTTTCCCAGCCCTTCTCACTGTTCCGCTCACCACCCGATAGTATACGATTATGTAGCTGACGAGGACCTTATAACAATGGCAGAGACCTCGCGAACAGCTTATCCGTGACATTGTCCTTGTCATCTTCGCCTCCCATAAACTGTTGGTTCGACATGATTAGTCACAGAGTGTCAACAGATTCTCGGAGTAGTAACGCTTACGGTATCACACTAATTTCTACGGCAGTAAGTAACAACTAACTTTAAAAATAGTTGTTCTCGGCACTATACTAAGCCGCAGTAAGCGGGGAGTAGTACTAGTACTAGTAGATCTACCTCCTGACTCTGAGTGCAAGTCTCCACCAGACATGATCATCATCCGCAGCCACAGGAACGATGAACCCCAAAGCCCCAGATATCCCTTGCGATGAAGTATAGAATCAGACATGGATGTCAGGGCAGTATCGTTGATTCAGGCCCGAGAGCGGCCCAAGGCCGAAGGCCGCGGGCCGCTCGAGGGCCGGAATCAACGATACCTGCCCTGACATCCATGTCTGATTGTATTTCACACTGCCACCCACGCAGGACAGCACAAGCGAAAGCCACAACGATCTCCTCAGCAGAACGTGCGCGTGCAAGCGCACCCGCAGCATGCTAGCAGCGCAAACAAAGCCACTGTACTGCACTAATCTACATAAATCGAACTTGAAATACATCAACTAGAAACACCGAGTGCCTGCCTGCCCAAGTTCTCAAGTCCTTTATGGCATTCGTTGCACAACAATGGCAGAAACTCACAAGCTGAAGTTCCACGTCCGTGCGCTCTCGGGCAAGCCGTCGAGCGCACGGCTGAAGTTTCGTTCTGAAGTAGGCTCCGTGCGCTCTCGAGTCTCGGGCAAGTCCTCGACCGCGCGCACGGTACGGCTGAAATTTCGTTCTGAAGTTTCGTTGTGAAGTTTCAGCTCACAAAGTTTTTGAAGTTCCAGCTCCGTGCGCTCTCGGCTCTCAGTTCTGAAGTTTCATGTCGACCAAGGTGAAGTTTCATCTTTTGTTGATTCAGGTCATCCCTCCTGAAGCTCACAAGCTGAGTCCTCCACGTCCCCAACCACCACCCCTAGGAGTACCTTCCTTTTATACATTCATCCCGTCGTGCTCAGTTTCACCTCCACACGCTCTCGGGACGTGCTGATTGGTCAAGGGCTGAATATACCCATGTGTGAATATACCCATGTGTGAATATACCCATGTGTGAATTCATTCATTCATGCCCTACCATGTGTGAATGAGTATATTCACACATGGTAGGAGGGCATGAATGATCACGTGATGGGGTGTACAGCGCGGTGCATGGTTGTAGACGTGGCTGGCAGGGCATGATCAGAGGTTCATGCCCAGCCTGTGACCGCTCTGATTGGGTCAAACCGTGGCAACGATCACGTGGCAAGTGTGAAAGGTTTGATCATGACAGATAGCCTGGTTCATCAGCAGCAGATCACTCACGGTGGCTTCGGCAAGCCGATCACATGCGACCAAAAAATGCCAGATAGAGCAGAGCTAGAGGTGCACATGCGGATATGACCGACCCACAGTAGCGATGATTTACATCCAGACTATTTTATCCATGCATGGTGAATTCTGTCAATCAATGAAATCGTCGCTCAGCTATATCGCTATTCACAGGCGGACAGTAACCACTTCTTTGAAGTAACCTGATTGAGTGAGGAGCTGAGTGAGTCGCCACAGCCCCGGAACATGGCAACACGACTTCTGCTGCTCAGCCATGCACTTGTTGTCTGGGGTTTACAGCTCAGCGTGTCAGCGGCCGACTCGCAACCACCGAACATCCTCTTCATTGTCGCTGACGACTTGGGTGAGTCTCAGTCGGCAGCAAAATAATGAAAACTTTTAAAAGTTACTTCCGGACGATCCTGGTGATCGTGAACCCAAAAGGGTCGAGGACACAGACATTGAAAGTGTTCCGAGACTCAGAGTAGGCGGACGTCTGCACTGCCACAGCGAAGTATGGCAGGGGTAATGATAACCGCATTCAGAGGAAAAAGTAAAATTGTGCAGGGAAATTTCTTCAGTTAGGAGCCAATGATAAGAAGCTGATGGAGCAGCTGCTAACGTATCTATCACTAGTATCAGTGGAATACCGAGCAAGCACAACACTGTGACAGCGATGCTGCAGGCCACGTCAAGTGCCTTGCATGGTAACATTTTTCTCCTATGCTCAGGATGCGTGACGTTAGTTATAGAGAGCTTAGCTATGCCTGTACCGAGCATAGTGTATTTGACAGATTGCACCCATCCTGTTCGGCAACAAAATAATTTGTCAGTAAAGCAGGATGAATACTATTCATGTGCATGTGTGACCACGCACCCCAGGCTCGGCATACGTGGCTTTATTTTTGAGAGAGCTCAGCTATGCATGTACTGTGGACAGTGTATCATTAGACTGTACTGGTTTCACCCGTCCAGCTTTAACGAAAAATTATTAATGTTCCTCTGCATATGCATGTGTTACCAACTTACCATGCATCCCAGGCTGGAATGATGTTGGCTGGCATGGCTCGGAAATCCTCACTCCCAATTTGGACGCGCTTGTGAAGGACGGTGTGCAGCTGGATCATTCCTATGTGCAGCCAATATGCTCACCGTACGTTTTAACCGGCAACCTTCAGAACGCTATACACATCCCTTGTGGCCTAACCGGCCTTTTGAGCATACAATGTAAACGTGGTAGGGCATAATTATACTGAGGAGTAAAGAGTCACTCGGCCAGTCTCCCATGTGCTCAGGCATGTGTACACAATGCCTAGACAATTCCGAGAACCATCAAAAACCAATACACTGATGTGTCGGTGCATGTGTTGGTGTCATCCCTACACTGGTAGCCGCCCTGAGAACCACCACCTGCTGTATATGACGCACCAGTGCATGCACTTCAATGGCACTCAATACTGTGACTGTGTGTGTGTGTGTGCGTGCTTGTCTGTGTGTCTCTGTGTGTGTCTGTCTGTCTGTGTCACAAGGCTGTGCTTGACCTTTTGTTTCCCCGGTGCCGTCTTTGCAGGACGCGTAGCTCCATCATGTCAGGAAAGTTTGTCAGTCACACTGGAATACAGGTAGGCCGCACTGTATGTACACATGTAGCCATAGGTGGACCATGTAACCGTAGATAGCTATGACTGTGTATAGCTATAGCCCTGCATTATACCAGCTTGAACTTTGTCGGACAGGTGAAGTGTGCAAATCATCAGAATTCGCCGTGCAAGCTGTAAGTTGTATGTGTAGTACTTCATGCATGTTATATTCCATGAAAGCAGTATGCAGGGCAGCAGACTCGGTAAGGTCATGTGATGTGTGCGTGTGTGTGTGTGAGTTTGTGGTAGAGCTTAATCCATTCCACCAAGCCATGCGGCCTGCCAACCAACATCACCACCATAGCGCAGCAGTTGAAGCAGTTGGGCTACGCTACGCACGCCGTGGGAAAGTAAGCACCCGTCGTCTTCACGGTTCTCAAGTCTCGCACAATAATACTATGGTCTAGGTTGATGGTCTCTATTGTAGATATCCATGTTCTAGTGGGATTGGCGGATCAAGTCTCTCTGGTGTCTGCAGCATAAATATCGGTCCACCAGGGAGGGCTGGGGAAGAGGACAGGGACATACTTGATATATTATAGAGAATAGTGGTATTGTATACACGTATGTGACCTTCAAACATCCTACAAACTAATGGGAATTGATAACACTGCACTACTGCAGCGTCAGTCTCATGATTTGCCCCCTCTTCCTCCTCCTCCTCCTCCCCCTCCCCCCCCCCCCCCCCCGCACCCCCTCTGCGGACTGCTGCACTGCTGGCTATTTGGGAAAGGACATGGATACGATCAAGGCGGCCCGAGGTAGCACTGTGTCTATCATTGGTCTCTGGTCACGTGGGCTCTACATGACTCTACATGACTCTACATGTCCAGGTGGCACCAGGGCTACTGCAAACCAGAGTACACACCGTCGCACCGCGGCTTTGACACGTTCTTTGGCTACTACACAGGCGCCGAGGAGTACTTCACTCATCTGCGAAGTGACCACGTTGGTAAGAGAGGGCCTGGGGCCCCCGGATAGTCTCTTCATGACAAGCCTGTTGAACTGCAGGCTAGCTAGGCTCGTGTCCTTGCACCTAATAACTCTCATCATTCGACTGCACTATGGTCCTGTTCTTGGCCCCTAATCCCGGCGCAGGCTAGAACAAGCAGCCACTATGGCAGTGCGTGAATTATGCTGTAACAACTGTGTCACACGGCTTTGTGTTATTTAACGTGTTATACGTCCAAATGATCGAGCATACCGTTTACCGTACACCTTCTCTACTTTAGGATATTTAGGATCACACCGATGCCACAATAAGTGTCACTGACGAGCTCACTTTGCTGCTAGGATGCAATACAATCGTGTGCAGGCAGGTGTGTGTGTGTGTGTTGTTGTTGTTGTTGTTGTTGTTGTTGTTGTTTAGTGGGTTGTACAGTGTAACATAGCGAGCAACCGACCAGAGCAGCCTTGTGTTACTGTTAGGCCATGCGGCGTGCATGTTAAAACTTCTCACTACCAATGCGTGCGCATGTGTTGCTATATCTGCACCTAACCTGTGTGGTCAGGAATGGCTGCACTGACTGTAGTGCTACATCATGGTGTAAGTGAGGCGCAGGTACTGTATGCCGGTGTAAGCTTCTCCGTTCTTGTGTGCGCTGCCGGCGTAGACAACAAGAGTTGGACGGCGCTGGACTTCCATCTTGACACACCGGATAACTATACAAACGTATTCAACATGAATGGAACGTACTCTGCAGTAAGTATGGAGAATGTTCATGTGTAATCATGAGTAGGCCATCATTCAAAGTCACAGTTTTGCGTGGAGTCACATCAACACACACTAATTTTCCACTCCATACTTGTACAATATATAGGAAATAGTGTCGTTCATGTAACATCTATGCAGAGTAAAGAATCATTCGGCCAGTCTCTCGGGACCCTGGCTTTTATAGTCAAAGAGTGAGTGCTTGCTATCACTCCCTGTTGGCTGGCAACGTCAAGTGGAGCAGCCGCAGTCATGCTAGAAAACCCAACCATACCCTGATATCCAACTACAAGTATTTACAAACCAGCCCTCTCTCCCCCAACAAGCACGCTGCCGGGTAAGACAAGGATTCTAGCATATGTAGCAGTGCATTACCGAGTTCATTGCACAGTATGCGTACGTGTGTGTGTGTGTGTGTGTGTGTGTGCGTGCGTGCGTGCGTGTGTGTGCATGGTCATTGCCTGACAAAGAAAGTGAAGGATGCCAGTATCTCGATGTACATGCACTGTTCTCTTTCTGTTGTCCTGTGTTCCTTCTCTGTTCTTTGCTTTTACACACAGTATGCCTTCACGGACCGTGCCATCAATATTATTGACAATCACGACAAGACCAAGCCATTGTATATCTATCTACCTTTTCAATCTGTACATGCTCCCCTGGAGGTACGGACTGTAAAATTTAAATACCACCGCCATACAGTGTGCATTTTTGGAGAGAAGTGTTTACATACAGTCAACTTCGCTAATAACGGCTGCGGATATAACGACAATAATTCGCGAATAAGGACAGAATTTCGATGCCCCGGGAAAAGTCCCATCCAACTGTAACACATGTCGTGTAATGAGACTTCGGGTGCAAGGACACTTCGCGAATAAGGACACTTGTCTGATGCCCCCACCGAGTGTCTGATGCCCCGCCGAGTGTTGATGCCCCGCCGAGTGTCTGATGCCCCACCGAGTGTCGTTATACGCAAAGTTGACTGTACATGTACCTGCTTGGGATGTGAGAACTGCCAGTAATACCAGTATGGATTGTATGGATTGTTGTACCATCAGGGATGTTGGCAGAATGTGTGTATGGATAACCATAATTATTGTGCAACAATACAATCACAAGTCTTTTTGTGTTTTTTTGTGTTTTTTCAATCCCTCAAACGTATCACTTACTGATATCTCCCCTGGTTGGTAACACCTCACATTGCGTAACCAATCACTGCTGTTCTTTTTATGACATGCTTTGTAGGTGCCGCCGCAGTATCCTGCAAAATATCCCAAGATCAACGACAAGAACCGCAAAACGTTCGCCGGCATGGTGTCAGCTTTGGACGAGGCAGTTGGCAATGTGACGTCGGCGTGGAAACGCAACGGTCTCTATGAGAACTCGGTCATCGTGTTCACCACTGATGTAAGTCTGTAAGTCTGTAGAACTGTGGCAAATACCCGTACACATGTCACGTTATCATCCACAGCATACTGCGCTATGAAGACACGCCTATCAGCTCTTGAACGCTGTCTGCTGTTTTGCCTCTGCCAAGAGTAGCTCATCCAGCATATGACAGCGTGAAATGCTTACCAGCCTACTGCGCTCAAACCCAATTGGTACTAGTCTTGTGATGGACAGCAGCTGCACGACCATGCAGCGGCGCTAATCTTTGCCTCTGGCTCTGGGGCTTCTGCAGTGTTGTTCTGGTGAACGTAGTCAGCCATGTCAGGCACACAGTGTTGTTAGGCCTGATTCTGCAGGACACTTTAGGCTCGATTGCTGTCACCGGTAGCCTAACTAGTGTATACCTGAATGTTTCGTACCAATGCACTGTACTGTACTGTACTGTACTGTACTGTACTGTAGTGATGCCAGGACAAGGTGTTGTTTCGAGTGCAGTTTCCCCCGGTGATTGTAATTTCGGACTGTTGCACTCTGCCGTTGCACTGCAGAATGGCGGTCTGGTCCACGCCGGGGGTAACAACTATCCGCTGCGAGGTCAGAAGTTCACACTGTGGGAAGGTGGCACGCGAGGCTCTGCATTTGTCTCCGGTCCCCTGCTGAACAAGACTGGCTATATCTATCCTGGGTATGTCTATCAATGCAGATGATGTCGCTAGTCGAATGCTGCACGTATGTGGTAGTACAGAGCGCACCGTGCATATCCCATTTCACTGCCCATCTTGGTTTTCGACGTTTCGTACTTGACTTAGATTGTGGAGGCAACCAATGATTGCAACTAGAGAATGGGAAATAGGCATTGGCGACGATCGCTATATCAAACTCACTGAATTTTAAAAGATGCATCCAGCACCCCTTGCCTCTGGAGCCAGAATTCATTATTAGATGCCCACTACCTTTAAAATTCTGTATCATTCTTCGTGTTATTGTGGTCGTTGTAGGTTGGTTCATGTCGTCGACTGGTACCCAACTCTGGTTGAAGTTGCTGGAGGAGACGTTAGCAGTAAGGCATGTCTTCACGTGCATGGGAAGATACAATGTTGTTTGTTCAGGGATCATTGTTCGCACCAGAATAAATTGGCATCTGTTGCGAGGTGCAACCATATCTCAATAAATGCGGTCATCGAGTTGCCCGCATCTCAGCTGAACGTGGGCAGGATTTGTTCTAAGTTCACTTTGTACAATGATGGCTGCACTGTCGTTTGCACTAACGTTAAATTAACCTGTTTGCTGTAGGTTTGGATGTGGATGGATACCCAATGTGGTCTCACTTTTCCAACAACCTGACATCCCCGCGTACCAGCTTTCCCTACCTGATTCACAATGAGTCACGGACGTTCGTGATCCGCGTTGACAACTGGAAGCTAATGGTCGGTGTTGAGAACACGACGCAAGGTACGCTCAGTCGTGTGAACTGCTGGTGTTAGTCTACTTCAACTTTCAAAGCTGGTGTATCATGCAATGTGATGTGTTAGCTGGACGATGTACAGCTGTAATGTCCTATTTGTTTACTATTACCGTGACATGACTGCACCTGCGCCCGCCATGCATGCATGTGCATGTGTCTGGGGTTCAGAGGCTTGTACTGCTACTCATAGTCTGATACCAAGAATACATGAAACCCAGCGCACACACCTGCCGTATGACTATGTCACGTACGAACTGGATCACACCATAGTTGATAGATATAAGCAGCCGGAGGTAGCACACATGTAGTCCTGCTTGCACGCATTGCACTACTGAAATGATGTGGTCCAGGAATTATTTGCGGTGCACATAACAGTAGACACCCTTAGCAAACAACGTTACGTTGTAACGGTATTACTGTAAGGGGGGGGGGGATACCGTGATTTGGGCTCGACCTTTAGCAAGATGCACGCTATTTTTAGTACACTGTTGCCACGAGAAAAGCTTTTACTTAGCGTGGTACAACCATTTATGTCACCATATACGCGATACAAGGTGAAATGCGTATGGACTATGCAAAATTTGGCCAAAAAACGTACCGTTGGTCACAACGATAAATCAGCCCCCATAACGTTTCTACGCTGCAGCTTCAATGCTATTTGGGTAATCAAGGTACGAGTACCGTAAAAAATAGCGTTACCGTTGTTTGCTAAGGAGTAAGGGTGTCTATTATCCTCTTCGAACTGCACTGCACACGCTGGCCTTTATGTACTACCGGTATTGCTGTTACTTCATATACGTGTACATGTACAATACTACTAAACAGCCTGACGTTGGTGTCCCCTCTCCTGTTTTTGCATGCCGCATTGTCATGAACATCCCGATGGCGATGATACATCAGGTGGGTGGTTTCCGCCGCCGGGTGTTGCTACTCCTGTGGATGCGGCACTCCATGGCAAGGACGACTACAGTTCGGAACTAGAAGACACCGTGGCCCAGCAGCTGCAGGGTGACCTTGACAAGAAGCCTAAACCACAACCCGTCTATCTATTCAACTTGGAAGGTGTGTGACGGTGTGCTTTTTTTTAAATTGATCATGTCTGATACGCCATGTTCAGTTAGGTATTACGGGGCGAGAAGAACACTCGACTACTCGGCGGTACTAAGAACTAAGAAGAGGAATAGAAACGAATGGAATTACCATTGTGACGACTAGAGCTGAGGTTGTTATCTGCATGGTGCACTGTCACAGCATCCCGATGACACGCCTGCAAGTTAGCATTCGTTTCACAGTACGTTGCAGGTGAGGGTTGATAGAGAAAATGACAACATCGCAGCAGCCTCAGCATAGATGCACCGCGACGCCTATCAGAGGGGGCATGCTATGGCTGTGTGTTGGAACCCAATGCTAATGTGGGCACGTTCCATGTGCACCATTCTTGCCATGCAGATGATCCGACAGAACATAACGACCTGGCGCAGAGCAATCCAGAGCAGGTGTCGGTGATGATGCAACACCTGACGGAGATGCTGCAGCCGTACACGCCGGACGCATGTGCACAGGTCAAGGACTCGCCCAAGAGCAACCCGGCCAACTTTCACAATGCCTACTCTACTGGGTGGTGCTGATCAGGGAGAGTAGTAAAACATCATAATTTCACTACTCCCTGGTGCCGATGTCTAACACTTTACACAGCATATTATCTAGCTGTAGGCACACCGGTATGCCATTTACTCCCCAGGTTAACGTGTGACTGCCATTGACTATTCGACTTTCACATTTGTGGTCTCCACCGGAGACCCTGGTGGCTAGAACATACACTCGTTACAACTTAGAAATGCCACAGATGTACTGATAGCTGTAGGTAGCTATAGTATTATGATGCCTCACAAACTGCAGATGGAGGCTTGTTCAACAAATTATCAATTCTGAATATGCTTGGCGGAGGGACCAGAGCAAGAAAAGGAAAGCAGTAGCAAGGTTAGAAGACGATCCCCATCCCAGCCCAAGTATTTCTTCTACGCAGCCAAGTCATCATCACGGGGTCAAATTCAAAGATGACACGTTGGCATTGCGCGGTTAGCGTTGAAACGGTACAAAATACACACACGCAGTGGACTACTATCAGATATAATATATACAAGATCTAGAGTTACAGATAGTTTGTACAGTTGAGGACGAGGCATTACAACTAACACACACGCACAGCATGGCGGTAATGCAGGTAGGGACTGGGACTGGGACTGGGACTGGGACTGGGACGGGTAATTACAGTAGGTACTGGCTAATCCAGGCTTTAAAAACTTCAGACTAATAAAAAAAAGAAGAAGAAAAGACTTCTACACAGTTTCAGGAGGTCAAGGCTGACTTCGTTCTCTTCAAGTGCTCGCGCAAGTCATCCCTGCACGCGAAATACAGACACAACCAAAACAGAAGGTGACTGAGACAGAGCGCCAAAGGAATCGGGGCTTATACCCACACTCACTCACAGCTACAGTCCATTCATAAATTAATGATGGGCCCTGACTCTGGCGAGCTCCCGTATTTGGCGATTTTTCGTGATTTCATCGTACACAGTGCAGTGCTGCGAAATTTGAAGTTTGAAGAAGGGTCCAAAAAGGGTACCTGGACTGGGGTTCGAACCGCACAATGCACTGCACTGGTACAGGCGGGGTCAAACGGCCTGGATTTTATGGTTTTCCCAATTCAGTGCTTTTGGGGCAAAACCTGGCCGAAATCCTATTCTTGGTATGGCTTGCTTTTTGGACAAAAAGATTTCAGAAACATAATTGGAAGAGGATTCCATATGGGACTGCAGAAAAAAATTCTAAAAAAACTCAAAGTTTGACCCATTTATGGCCAAATGCTAGAAGTACATCTTTTTCTGAATGAACTGTAGATGGCCTACCCATTTTTTTTAATGATATAAAAGTCTGCCCACCCCGAGAGTCAGATGGCCAGTATACTATCACTACTTGTACTTTGTTGGCACAGCTACTGAACATGACATAATAACAAACCCCACATCGATCAACAAAGAACACCCTCACCCTACACCATATTCACATGCTGATTTAAAAGTTCAGTGTGGCCATATGTACTACACTGTACTGTGCAATGCAACATCAGAAGATGTTCTGCTGGCCCAGCCAGTCCGTCCAGGTGGGGAATCCTGCATGCGAGCGTGGCAGACACTTCCCCGTATGGAGGAGAACAACAAGTCAGCCACACTGATCCCTGTGTGATTATGTGTATGGGTGTAGCGCACGCGGGGACTTACGTCAGGCCACCGCAGCCGATGGACGTAAAGAAATTGATGCAGAAGCGCGTGTACTTGGGGTTGTCGCGTGGCATGAGTCCCTCGAAGTACGGTGACAGAAACCTGAACATCATGAGACCAAACACAGCGCATGCAAAACAGTAATATGTTTGACTTCTGTAGTCATGGGATACAGAGAATGCAAAGACCAAGGGCACTGTGCTGACAGCATGGAAGCAAAGTACAGCACAGCAGAAAACAGTTACGCGTCTAAGGCCGTAAGGGCAAGTTTGCACGAATATTTCCATGCCAGGATGAGTCAGTTACATTGCCATGCACAGACAAGCCTTGCTATGTGTTTTGCCCTTCGAATTTCTTGTATCTTCATGCAGTTTTCTTGACAAACCTGTTTGCTTATTATCTTGAAACGCAGTGCAGGGATGGAACGGTGATGTGTCACAAGAGATTGCTAGCCAGGTGCTGTGCTGGATTTGAGCCGTCACACCTGTCCACAACGATCACATTGTGGGATCAGTTTGTCCATGCATCTTAGCCTACGAGGCTGTCCAAGTGCAGAGTCATACTAATTTCAACACAGACTGGCAAGTGCAGAGTCATACTAATTTCAACACAGACTGGCAAGTGCACACTGTCGTGCCAACCAAGTATGGATTCAATAATTTTGCACCGAGTACAATGTACATATCCATGGCCAAGTACACGTCCATAACCTAAAACAACGAAGTCATTTGGCTTGCGACTTACGGATCTTTGAGGCGAGTGTTGAGCTTGGGCAGTCCCATGTATTCTGAAAGCTCCTGGAAGAGAATCTTGACAAAGATACGACTGGAGGACGTGGTTTCGTCCTCATTGAGATGAATGCACTCAATAACACTCCAGGGGCACGCGTCCTTGTAGAGCATCCAGGAGAACATGCGTGCCACGTTGCGCAGCTTCTTGGTCTCCAGACGGTGAATGACCTCGTACTGCCGTCCACAAACACAGACACACACGCACAAGCACACACACACACAGGGGCAAGGTTACGAAGCAAAACTTGTTCAAATACGAGCAAAGCCACAAAAGGGCACAGTAAGCATAGCAGCAGCACCTCATTTCCAGCTGGGACAAATTCTAAACTCTTTGTACAAATCAAACGGCATGTCCACCTTGTCTGTTCAGTATCAGCAAAGGAAATTGTCACCTACCTGCTCCTTGAATAGCTCAACAAACGATGCCTGGAACTCTTTCTTCAGCAAGCACAGGCGCTCAGCTAGCTGCCCAAAGAACTTCTCGTATGTGCGGCCGATGGCACAGCATTCAAGTACCATAGTACAGAGCGGCTTCTCCATACCGGGCTTCACCTCCAGCTTCATCAGCTTGTGGGCGCACTCCTCAAAGGTCAAACTAGACTGGATGGTCAGGTAGATAGTTCGCCGGAAAGCGACCACATTCGTGTCGGTCATGTCCTGGATGTCCAGGTTTTCTGGACCGTCAGCACCGCCGCGGCCCTCACCATCCTCGCCGTCCTCGTCTTCATTCTCTGACGAGTCATCATCCGAGCCGGAGTCCTCGTCGTCCGAATCACCGATTATTTCTGCAATCAATCAAAAGCAGAAGAGAGAGAGAGAGAGAGAGAGAGAGAGAGAGAGAGAGAGAGAGAGAGAGAGAGAGAGAGAGAGAGAGAGAGAGAGAGAGAGAGAGAGAGAGAGAGAGAGAGAGAGAGAGAGAGAGAGAGAGAGAGAGAGAGAGAGAGAGAGAGAGAGAGAGCAAGCACTACTCAGACTCTTCACTGGCAATAGCCTGGTGATGCATGGGTAACTGTGTGTGTTTGCAGATTCTGACAGGTGACCACGCAAACACTAGGAAAGTACAGAACATCACAAGTACCGGTAGGCCAGGTACAGATGATCCGCTACTCCAGCAACACCACCAGGTGCATCATCACCACTACATGTACCAACACCAGCAGCAGCACTAGCACCAGCACCAGCACCAGCATCAGGCGCGTGCGCCGGTGTCTTCAAGGGGGGGGGGGGGGGTTCCGGGCACCCAGGAACCCATACGGGGCACGTGCCTGAGCATAGTACAGTTCTGGCCAGAGAAATCCAACGTCATGAATAAAGTAGCACTGCGTTAGAGTTCACAGACAGTGTGTCTAGTGCAAGGACTGTGTAGCGCCCGGTGCTATTTTATTCATGAGGTTGGATTTCTTTGGCCAGTACTGTACCACTAACTCATTCCAGCTTATAATGACAGTTGTCATGCAAGAATAAACACAAGGGGGCTGTCCTCTACACAGCTGACGCCACTGGTTTCGGTCACTTACCATCCTTTATTGCTTTGTAGCGCTGCTCATTCGTCTCGTACTCGGGGTCAAACTTGAACACATCTACAAAGGCAAGCATACCCAAGACAAACACACATCGAAGAGGACATACACAAATGAGAAGATAGAAGCCGGCCACGAATCGCAAGCATGTCATATTGATAGTATCAACCTTCTAAAAACAACTAGCCAACAGCAAGCAATGCAGTGCTATGAGAGTACATTGCAGGAATAACGGGGAACAAGACCAAAAGCAGCAGTGACAGCAGCAGCAGCAGCAGCAGCAGCAGCAGCAGCAGCAGCAGCAGCAGCAACAACAACAACAACAACAACAACAACAACAACAGTCTCTTATTGGCGATGGTGCCATCGTGAGAATAAAGAATTCAAGAATTCAACAACAACAACAACAACAACAACAGCAACAAAGGCTAAGGCTGCAACCACACTAGGTACAAAATCACGTACAAACGGCATTACAGTAGAAATCGTCATGCCGACGCGTGCGAAATGCAAAATGCCCTTTGTAGGTTTTCAGCAACTGGCGCACCCCTGTAGAAAGCCACGTTTGTCATTTTCGCGCTCCTTCTGCTGTGTACAACTTTGCTTTTGTACCGGGTCATCGTACATAGCATCAGCACCAGCATTGTTTTTGAATTTCCCGGTCTTTTCCAGCGCATGGCACACGCTTTGGTACGGCAACGTCACGTGCTGGTCGCGTGAAATCGTCATCTATGCAGACCGAAAAGTGTAGTGTGGTTGAGTACCGACTTGTACTGAGATATGCATGACAATTTGTACTGTGATTTTTACGTAGTGTGGTTGCGGCCTAACCCGGGGATAACTGCATATTCATGTTCGCGTGAAAACGTCATCTATGCAGACCGAAAAGTGTAGTGTGGTTGAGTACCGACTTGTACTGAGATATGCATGAAAATTTGTACTGTGATTTTTACGTAGTGTGGTTGCGGCCTAACCCGGGGATAACTGCATATTCATGTGATAGTAGAGAGGTTCCGCATAACGTAATTACGTTAGTAAAAAACGTAGTCGATCTACGGAAAGTCTTACATAAACTGCATGCGCATCTGGGTTCCGCCATACGGAGTTTTCAAATCACGTAGCTGCCCTTGGCAACTCCGAACGCGGCAGTGTACGACCAGATCGACCTGGGGAGAGAGTCATAAATTTGTACCCCAATCCACTTACGGACCAGCTACGTTATCAGAGCCCTATCTACGTACTCTCCGTAGACAACTTTCCGTAAGTGGAGTGCAAACTCGCGAATTCACGGGTTTTTCCCGCCCACTAACGTAAAGTAGCTCAACTTTACGTAGTGCGGAACCTCTCTAGTGCCATTAGCAAGTTGGCAAGGAACAGCGCCAGCACGCAAGCATTCACACACACCCACACCCACACCCACACCCACCCACACCCACACCCACACACGGTGCATTCACACCACTGTAACCACTACAGCAATTCGTAGTAGCACGTAGGATAGTGGTGTAGTGTTCAGCAGCGATGCAGATGGCGACAACGTACCCAGTAAAGATTCTTGATCACCAGCATCCTCCAGCTCGATCAAATGCGTTGTCTGGTCGTCTTCTTCGACCAGATTCAGCTCAGGAAGAACGTCGGGATGGTCCTAAGGTGCACACACATCGCACAGAGACAGTGGCGGCGGGCAGAAGGTACACCAAGTACAGGTTACTTAGAGGGTCAAAGCAACAAGAGCACAGCAAGGGCATATTCCATACTACAGCTCACTGACCCTATATGCACGAAGTGTTAGAAACAAGCTTGTAAAATATGTACAGTACACACAATACCAGCAGCAGCAGCAGCAGCAGATACTCATCATTGCCACATAAAGACAGTAGGCCAGCAGTGAGTGGTAGCATCTAGGGAGACAACACTGATGAGAGGAATGCAACGACCGCGTGGGTTTCGTTCCAGCCAGTCCATTCTAGTCGCCCCTGGGGCAAGGCTGATTTATACACTCTCACACACAGCATCAGAGCACCCCGCCGATATATACATGTATGTAGTACTCTCACACACAGCATCAGAGCAAGGCCGATATATATACATGTACACAGTACTCTCACATACGGCACAACAGGTCTGGGCGTGCTTGGGATCAGTAGGTCAAGGTGGCGATCGTGATGGTTACTCGCATAGGCCAAGGATCGAAACTCGGAATTTCAAAACAGCTTCCCCTCTTTCTTGTGTAGACCAAGGATACATGATTTTTGTTATGCATAATACATGTACAAGGTCAACAACGCCAACTTACTTTGAAGTGATCTTTCCGAACGGCAAACATAACCTCGATCATGTATTGAACACGTTTCTCCAACTGTCCCTCGTTCAGAATAGCACGCAGACGCTCAAAGATCCCTACATTCATGCATACACAAACACACAACCACGCGCATGCACACACACACGCACACACATACACACACACATACACACACACATACACACACACACACACACACACACACACACACACACACACACACACAGAGGCAGAACAAATAAATGCCATGCCAGACCAGCAGAGGGACACAAATCAACATGGCATGGCACAGGGCCATCTCAGCACCGCTCGTAAACTTGCCAAGCAACGAAAGCAAAAGCAAAGAAACCAAGATTCGCGTTGCTGCAGGATACGCCTCAGAATTTTGCCAAAAAACTCACCAACAATGCCACGCTTGCAGACATCAGTTAGTTTCGCACCGACCTCCTTCAGCAAGCCAATCTGCAAGAAAAGAATACGAACACGACACCGTATTACAGTACGTCCAGGATCTTCCTAACCGTTCAACTGCCTCAACTGTTCAAGGCAGTGTAGTATCATGGCTACGACCCCACCGAAACATCACTGAAACACTACACCACGGCACGGTGGTTCCTTACCGCCACTTCAACACTGTCATCAGTAGCACGCTCCAAGAGCAAAGTCAGAATCTCCAGAACACTGATCTCATGTGCCTGGGCAGGGAACACAAGCAAAAAGGAGACGAAATAGCAAAAAGTCCTCCAGAGGATAGGGTGGTGTTACTGGTGTAGCAATTCTTGTAAATGGCCATTGCTTCAGCTACGCACAGAAACACGGTATGTTTATATCCAAGGTACTATAGCTTGAAAGTTCTACGTCACAGCCAACCCAGAGTCATGACAATGCGGACTTTCGCATCCATTTGGATCCGATTTTCGCATGGATCCATACACTCTTGGGCGGTTTTCCTTCAGTAGGGTGACAGATGTGCGGGTAGTAACTGGCCCGCGCCCTTCCAGTCGTGGACCCACTCCCGGTAGAGAAAAAAAATCACATCTGCATCCGATACGAGTGGCCTACCCACCATACACTGACCGTACTTGGCGATGGGCAGAGTGGATCCAATTTTACCCAGAAGTCGTTATTTGTTGACTTCTGGCGTCATCACTTTCAAGCCCTACTAGTACATGTCCATTACACTGTTCTGCTTCAATGTTGAACACACTAGTCGAGGATGAAGAAGAGCATCAAGATTGAAAGATCGACCATAGTTAGTTGTATGACAGTATCAGATGGCCATACTTACAACATTCTGGTTGACAAGATGGCCAATGAAGCGTGCTGACGATAGACAGAGTACCTGTCAAGCATGCAAGCAGACACACGCACGCCGGTAATCAACTGCATGATGTACATGATGTAGACATACACACGGGACTTGGCGCAATCACCCCTCTGCTCATGTCTGAATTCACTGTACTGGACAGCTGGTTATTCAGCATGGTCTTGAACAGTGAGTGGCCTAGGTTTCTGAAGCAAAAAGGCTATCACAGTATCAGCCAGGGTTGGTACAGCACTGTAGTTACAGGTAGGGGAAAGAAGATCTTACAACCGACGATGTCACTCACGTGAACACCAGCCACCACCACCACCACCACTACTACTACTACTAGTACTAACTGACTAGCATCAGTGCCAGTCTCATCGTCCATTCTTCTACAGTCCATTTCAAAACTATAGACGCGTACCTAGGCAAAAACCGTTATGCCAGCATCTATACCACATAAAATCTGTGATCACTTTGTGCAGAAATTTTTCCAAATTGGGCGTCTGTTATCCAATCCTTTAGAAACTATATGAGAGTAATTGTGGAGCGGTTCTGAGCAATATTCCGAAAACTATTCTCAAAAAGTTCCAGCCAAATTTGAAATATTTCAAAAACCCTACGCGTCTATAGTTTTGAAATGCACTGTAGGTCACATTTACACATAGAGGGCTAGTGGGCTACAACCACACACACTTACGTGCACGCGCACGTACACACACACACATGCTGTCACATAATTATACACACATACATGTACACACACACACACACACACACACACACACACACACACACACACACACAAATGCACACACACACGTACGCACACACGCACGCACACACGCACACGCACACACACACACACACACACACACACACACATACAACGAGCCATGCTGACCTTGTCGTTCCGTCGGAAAGAGCGTCTAAACTGAAGGACAAGACGCCGCAGAGTCAGCTCACCGACCTGTGGTAGCTGCAGAATAAAAAAAAACACAACACAAAAACGGTGGACACCATCGAAGAAGTTCAACTTCGTAGTTTATACACATGGTAAAGTCACAAAACATACAGAAGCTTCAATAGTACACGAGTTCCTGGACATGTAACAGGTGTAACAAGGCAGCAAGAATACGCTGTGGTCGCATGACAGTGCAAAACTCACAACAAATACTTGCTGCACCAGCATTGATATTTGAGATGAAGCTAAAAAAACGTTCACACAGCACCATCACACAACGCAGCTCTCTACCTTGCTGTTGATGATAGCGATCAGCGCTGCGTAGACGTGCGTGAAAGACGGCGACGCAGATTGGGCTTTCATCAGTGCTCTTGCCAGCAGGCCGCTGCAACAAAAAACAGAGGCAACACACGGACACACAGCATGCAGAAGAACATCATGTCACTTCCAAGTCCAACACTAGCCGCCGGGTGACAAGTGACAGAATCAGTAGCCGTGCACACTTAGCATTCAGAAGTGATTACTACAGAGCAGAACTTACCGGCCTCGCACAAGGTTTTCTGCAAAGACTTCCCGGGCGATGGAAGCGATATTGGAGACGTTGACCTGTGAGAAAGCGAATACAGACAAAAAAAAACCAGATCAATGATGGCAGCAAGCGGCACATTAATCATTAGAAACATAAGAACGCCTTACACAGAACAATACTAGAATATCAACAAACAACACAGCTACCTGGCATCTAGCATTTAGCAGCAGTAGCAGTAGCAGTAGCAGTAGCAGCAGCAGTAGCAATACAGTACAGTACAGTGTAGTGGTGACATACGTCACCACACATGACAGGGCATGCACCTATATACTCACTTTGTTGATCAAACCGTTGATGCTTTTCTTCAGCGCTTCCCATGTTAACCTTTGATACTGTTCACTGTGTACAGAAAGCAGCAGTAACAAGTGTAAGGCAGGAAGTATGCATGTGCGTATAGGCACATTGCCCCCTCCCCTTTGGACCTTGGACGCCGATCACTAGTGCGATGATAGCGTGCGAGCTGAGCAATATGGGATGTGACGCTTCAAGTCACCACTCTTTCTCTTCGCCACCATTTCAAAAATTCAAATTCAAAAATATCGCTCCGTTCGCCTTGTGCAACTCCACCAGGCAGCTTGCAAGGCTACCTAGTGGGCCACTACAGCCATGGCCTGGTCTACACTACATGGCTCATGGCTGCTTAGGGTGGCTACAACATCCTGAAGAAGGACCTCACAAAAAGCAAACCTCACACACACACACACACACACACCGCTGCTGCACGACAGGCATACCCACTTGGCAGCAGTGTAGCCAGGACCTGCGGGTGCTAAGGTAGCCATGCGAACCCTAGAGAGCTGCTGCGATGCATTTCGTCATGGCATCAGGCATGTAAACATGTGATTTTAGCTGATATAACACAATCCGCAATTCTTGCAGGGGCGTAGCTGGTCCCCGTTTTAGGGAGGTGCACAGCTGCATATGTGTACGATGGCTGGTGCATGCCATTCATGGTCATATGCATGCTGAACCTAGGTCGAAATATGTAGGGGGGTGCATGTGCCCCCCCCCCCCCCGTGCCCCATGCGGGCTAAGTGCCTGTCTTGTGTTCTATATTATATACCGAGGTTCAGCATGATCAGCCCCGGTTGCATTGTGTATTAGTTGTTTTCATTATATTTGCGAACTTTGCATTCAT